AATAGCACATTTGGTTTGTAATACATTCCCACTGCCCATGAAAATAAATGCAATTCAAAGGTAATTCTGGTAAAGAGAAACTTTTTATGAGGGACAGGTGATTGAGTCTTAGTGAGCTCATGGGCAAAATTCATGAAGGATAGCACGTTTTAAATACAGGACGTATAATTATTGTCTTAATGTCAACATTTTGTAATGTAGTCTCTTTCTGGGAGTGGAGATTAAATCATTATTTTCATTTTTTGTGCAACATTCTAAATTTATATTACAAATTATTCTTTTTAAAAAAGACTGAAGCACGATACTTATGGTGTTTTAAGAATTCAGATAGACCATTAATGATGAGTTGACATTAACACTCCTGGAACTCATTCAGACCACTAAAAAGGAAGGAACAGCACTAGACTCATGTTATGGAGGAAGCATTACCCAAATTACAAAAATAAAAATTAAAAGGGGAAAAGCCAGATAAAAAAGACCAATTTCCCTGATTAAAATAAGGATGTCCTAATACTTGTTATGGAAATCTAAGAAAATATGAAGAGCCTGTAGAGATATGAAAGGTTTGCTCAAAACCAGAAGTATCAATTGTAATCCAACATTAATCGTTGGGAATGCAGAACACTCATTACATAAACTACACAATCCCTGAATGAAACAGGAGTAGAAGGTTATTTCTTGAATATAACAAATATTATATGGCACAGTTACTGGCATGTACAACCCTGTCTGCAGCTTCCGCTGAATAAAGACAAAATTCTTGGTTTCTATTGTCAGCACCAAGACAGACAAAGTCAACTGTTCATTTGCTTTCAAAATGGAGCTTGACATCATGGAGACAGATATTTTCAGTTGCACAATAAACTGACTCATAGCCAGACCATATTGATTGAAAACAATAAACAAATCCGGAATCAGTACACAGACAACTGATAGTTCACAATGATCTGTGAGTGGCATGGAGACACAGGAGCACTGTGATGGGTTATTTGACAAAGTCTCTACTAATGTTAATCGAAAGTATTGGTTGAGATCTACAACTGTGTGAGAGCCCACTCTGTTGGAACATATGTGTCCAGTTTCTTCTTGAAGAGGATATAGAGAAGGCTTTGAAGAATTTGAACAACCTTGGTTTAATACACAGGCAATCCACACACAGTTTTACTGGGTATCATTTCACAAAATTCTAGAGCTAGAGAGATGGTTCAGTGGTTAAGAGCATTGTCTGCTCTTCCAAAGGTCCTGAATTCAATTTCCAGCAACCACATTTTTGCTTACAACCATCTGTAATGAGGTCTGGTGCCCTCGTCTGGCCTGCAGACAAACACACAGACAGAATATTGTATATATAATAAATAAATATTTAAAAAAGAAAAAGAAAGAAAGAAAATCCCACTGCCTCCAGTTTGAAATGGGATAGTGAACAGAAGAGGCTTCTGGTGTTTCATGCATCTGGAGTATCTCAAGAGAGCTCCTAAGGGATATGTGTGTGTGCCAGGTCATAAAGAACAGATCTAGGTCTCCATCCCTGGAACAACATTAATGATACAGAGACCAAAGGCCTTTTAGCAACAGATGTGGTAGAAGATGAGAACGAAGAGAGAATAACAGATATGGACAACTCTGAGCCAAGATATTTTTATTGTGTGTCTGCTAGACAGTGTTTAGTTGATTGACAAGCCATTTGACAATGGGATTGAATAATAATAATAATGATAATAATGAAACAAAGAGGTTTTCTGAAAGAAATTTGTAATCACATAGTGAGACAAGTTAAAAAATAAAGATTACAAATGATAAAAATAAAAGTGTAATTATCCTAAGTGTAGATAATCAGAGCTTTGCTTCTTACATCTTAACGGAGAAAAGGTTGCATGCCCACTCTCTCACTCTTATTCATTGTAATTCTCAAACATGAGTCATAGAAAAGAGGGCAAGAGGGAGAAATAAAATGAATATAAAACATCATGATGAAGTCAAGTTACCAGAACAAGTCCTTATACTTAGAATACTCTAAACACTAAACCAGATAACTCTTAGATCTGAAAATACTTTAAGCAAACAACAGGAAATAAACAAAGATCAAGGTGTAAAGTCAACATTCAGCAATCAATAGGTATCCTGTGAAATAAAAAAAAAAAACTTACTAAGAAAAAAATTCAGGGTAAAGTCCATTAACAACTTCAAAACACAATATCTAGGAACCAGTTTGAACAAGAAAATTAATGTGTGTTCAAATCAGGAGAAGAAAAGAAAATAATAAATTTAATGTTAGCTTAGTTTTGGAAGATCTGCTCCATGGCTGTAAGGCCAGATGTGACACTGTTGTGAGGCAGAAAATTAGGACAGGAGTGTGTGGATTAATGTTGAGTATAGTATCTTGCATGATGAAAGAGGAGATCACTGACACACTGTTCTCCTCATAAACACAGGGTTAGTGACCTCAAACCTTCTCAGTGGCCCTGTATTCATCCATGTTTCTTCACTAAACAAAATAACAGCATGAAGACCAATGTTTTCCTTCACGACCTTATGGGGAAAGTCAAGCTGCAATGTACTGCGGGTTTTCATTAGGGAGCACTGAGCTTCACTCAGTCCCTTGAGTTATAATATTATGTGAGGATCTGAAGGTCTGAGACATTTCTATCTGTCAAATACCTGGAAACAGAAATGACCACCTTGCCCTCACATTGTCAGACCTCCAGTTCAGGTGCCAGAGGGAAGGGAAATGCTGATTATGAAAGAGTGCCACTTCCCAGCTAATCTTAGTTTTTTTTTTTTTATTAAAAACTGTAATCCCGTATGGAATTGATAGTATGCTGAGTGTCCAAAGGTTCACAAAGTCCAGCATCATTATCTCACATGGGTTTCAAGTAGGGATATTGACAGAATGTCCATCATTCTGTCCACAGGCCATAATGGGGCTCCTAAGCTGGTAGCTGATTGACAGGAAATGTGAATTCTAAGGATATGTTTCTGGTTACAGGGTAAAAGCTTTCTCCATTTGTTAAGACTTCAAGGCAACTCTGCATTGACTATGGAGTGAGTAGATGGAGAGACCTGCTTCATTCTTAGTGATACTTGTTCATTACAAATTTACATTTTCAGCCCTATTCTTCATTCTATCCTCACAGCTCACTGCCTCTTTGGTTCCCGATGACATTAATTTAGAGCTTCTTATTGGAGCCAGCTTCTCCTTCTAATCTGAACACAGAACACACTCTTTTTTCCCCTCAATTTTATTGAATCCAATGATTTTCTCTTTTTGAGAAGTATTTACTCAAATGCAGAATAAGATGTTGTTATAAGATACAAAAATTAGTTTAAGATAAAGAGATAGATCAGTGGATAAGAGTGATTTCTGCTCTTGCTGTGAACATAGGTTTAGTTCCCAGCATCCATATGACAGTTCACAGCCATCTGCCAAAATAGTTCCAAAAGACACAATGACTTCTTTTAGAATCTAAGTGCAAGAACCACAAATGTGATACATGCAGAAAAATTCTCATATGCACATAGAATAAATGAGCTGGACAGTGGTGGCACAGCCTTTAATTCCAGCCCTCAGGAGGCAGAGGTCGGTGGATTTCTATGTGTTTGAGGCCAGTCTGGTCTACAAAAGCTAGTTCCAGGACAGGCTGCAAAGCTAGAGAAAAACCCTGTCTTGGAAAACCAAAAAGAATAAATATAAAGATATATTTTTAAAAAGTTTAATTCTGCGAAATCCCAGGGCTTCTGCAACCAATATCCTTTAGAGCCGACAGAGTAATTGCAATGCACTCTTCCCCTGCTACCTCAGAATAACAGAAAGTGACAATTCCAAAAGACCAACAAAAATGTCATCTGGAATACAGTACTGAGAAAAGTATAGAGAATTCTTTGCTACTCCTAACTGGCATAGGGTGACACAAGAGCAGGTGTTCTTGGAGCACCAAGTCAAGCTTTTTCTCAGCTGATTTGCATAGTTAGACTTTAGCCAGGTGCAAATTACTGAGTGTATTTAAAGATAGCTTGTCAGTGACCAAGAAACAGCCTCTAGTCCAACTGGCAGAGATGGAATCAGATGATCTCCTGCTTTGGGTATTGCTACTCTGGGTTCCTGGTGAGAGCCTGAAGTGCTGGGAGCAGCCTACCGTGGCTATCATTGTTTTTCATGCCTTGATGATTGGACGACTGAAATTAAGGCATCTAAATAGTGTTATGTTTCCATTTTCCTTTATGGCATCTCAGGTGTAGCTCATGATTGCAGATATAGATTCCACATACATGATAACATCATATTGAGTGAGGTAACCCAGACCCAGAAAGACAGTTGTCACCTTTAATCCCAGCACTCGGGAGGCAGAGGCAGGCGGATCACTGTGAGTTCGAGACCAGCCTGGTCTACAGAGCTAGTTCCAGGACAGGCTCCAAAGCCACAGAGAAACTCTGTCTCGAAAAACAAACAAACAAACAAACAAACAAAAAAACACACACACAAAAAGACAGTTGTCACATGTACTCACTCAAAAGTGGTTTTTAAACATAAAGCAAAGAAAATCAGCCTAGAAATAACAATCCCAGAAAACCTAAGCAACCATGGGAATGCTAAGCGAGACATATATGGATTTAAACTACATGGGAAGTAGAAAAAGACAAGTTCTCCTGAGTAAACTGGGAGCATGGGGACTAATGGAGATGATAGAAGGAAAGGGGAGGGGAAGGGAGGGGAACAGAGAAAATGCATAGCTCAATAAAATCAATAAAAATAAGAACCACATACATGATGGTTTTACACTTGGGTGCTTTTAATAAATGTGACAGCAAGGTGTTTATCATTTTAGGTTCCCCTGGGGACATTGTTCTATATCAGTCTCCCACATCAATACCTGTTTCTCTAGAGCAGAGGGCCATTATCTCCAATAAGAGTGTCACTGAATGACATTAGTTATATGCATTGGAACCAACAGAGAAACCAGGACAGCGTCCCAAGTTCCTCATCCCTTTTGCATCTTACCTAGCATCTGTGTTCTTTGCCATGTTCAGTGGCAGTGGGTGTGAATCAGCCATCACCCTCACCTGCCATCCCGAGGAAGCTGAAGATGCTACAAACTATTTCTGTCAACAGAGCAATGGGCTTCATCCCACAGTGCTTCAAAGCTAAACATAACCTTCTGGGGTTCCTGCTCACTGAAGTTCAGTATCTGAGCTATGTCTTTTTGCCACACATCTCAACGATGTTATCTTTAAAATCGTGTTTTTTAAAAAGGGTAAACCTGTGAAACAGAGATTTTAAAAATAACATATGTGATTATCTCACCATGTGTGCCGTATAAGTTTTCAATTTGCTTCCTTAATTAACATCTCCATGATACTATTTTAAAAATGTAATTTGTGTGTTTAATAGATTGACAAGACAGAAAATCATTTAATATATACAGGAAACTTATTAGACACTCAAATTAAGAGCTTTGAATATTGAAGTTTGTTAGTTGTCTTGAAGACGCAAATTGACATCCTCACTCTAATGCTACATTTCTACTTGTATTTGCTTGAGATTTCAAAATTCCATTTCAGCAGGTCACACACAAGCCTCCTACAGCTGATTTACTGCCTATTTTTATCTGCATGTTTGTGTCCATCATAGAAGCTTATCCATGAACTTAGATCCATTAGCTGTTTTTGTACTTGCCCAACACTACATCTTTTTGCTATAGCATCTTCCAAAATGTGGCCACATTCTCTCCTTGCCTTCCTTCATTTCTTGCTCTCTTCTTAGGTGGAGGAGTATAAAGTTTCACCTTATATTTTAAGCTGACCTGGAAATTGCAACCTAGCACACAGTACCTGCAGCCCACCAGCCTCTTCACCTTGACAGTTAAATTACATGATACCACAACCAGCTCATTTTTATATTCTAGGTGTTGTTCCATCGCAGGTGCATAAAATCCAAAGACTTAATAGTGCGAGTCATGATCACGAAAGCTTTACTTCATAGAAACTCTGTGCAAGTCATGGTCACGGAAGCTTTACTTCATAGAAACTCTGCACTTCTTCATGAATCTTCTTTGGACTTCCATATCATGCCCACATGAAGTGATGAAGCTCAGTAAAATGATCCTTAGCACCACTTTGTGATGCACATACTTATGTTTTTCAGGTTTATGGTCCGATTTCAGGAGAGTGAAATTTTACTTAAGGACTTTACTCATGGTGTACAAGAAGTTATCACAAATTCAGTGACTCAAAATCTATAATCTGAGCAGATGATGTCTGGGTCATTTCCTCAGGCTTTTACAGGTTACAGTTAAGGTGTTGTCAAGGCTGAATTTTCATCCAGGCAACCAAAAACATCTTTTTATAAGACCAGAATAAACTTTTAATTTTAATTTTGTCCCATTAAGTTTCATAAGAATACCTTGACTTTAGAAATGTCCTGAATCAATCACTCATGTACCACCCTTCCACGCTGTCCAATGACTTTTACAGTTATTGATGGGACATGCAGTAAGGAAAACTTTAATAAATAAAAAAAAGATGAAATCTGAAACAGAGATTTTTAAGCATCATAATGCTGCATTAGATGACAAAAAGAATGACAAAGATGATCGGAACATAAAATCTGTAGATGCCAAGGTAGAGTAGGCTCATGCTACAGCAAAGACGACAGCACTTGAGTAAGAACTGACAGAAAAAGTGAGAGAGTTACAAGAACTTTTGAAAACTCTGGAGAGGCTGCAGAATCAGAAAAGAATGATGGTGTCTGGGTACAGCCCCAGGACCACAGACAATACTTCTTTTTTATTTTTATTTTTTATTTAACTATTAAAAAATTTATACTTCCTCCCCTCCTCTTCCCCTCCTGCTCCCCCACTTTCTCTTCTCTCTCCTCCTCCCTCATTAAGAGAGGGTAGGGAACACTGCCCTGTGGGAAGTCCAAGCCCCCCC